TTTACTCTAAATACTTTAAAATAGTTTATTCATTCTTCTTTTGTAGTTGCTTTAACTATACTCCATTACAATGAAATAATGGATATTTGACTCCAAGGGGGCATTATAAACCAAACGCCATGATGTCCTTCTCATCACTCCTATCTTTCGGTGAGATTTCATTTATTTCAGCACACCTCTTTTCACATAGATCCGAGTAGTGGACATAAGAGGACATGGTTTCATTATTAAGCCTATGAAGCATAAATTATAGCTACGACTCTTAATCGTAAGTCAAAGCTTAAATACTATTTTATTTACTTTGCCTAACTTTGAATTTTCTGCGATGGAAATAATAAAAACAAAGCCAATAATGACCAGATGTGCATTTTTATGGCACTTCCTTTAAGACAGTAATAATTGGGAACAAGAAAATATTAGGTGGAGGATCTTAGGATGGAAGCCTCATGACTGGCCGGATGACAAGACTTTTGACATCCTTCCTTTGATACGTTTGGAAACACATCTTGAAGGAGTTTGAGGAAATGTAACTTTGTAGATTTGAGCTGTTTCTAAGTTGATATATGGATTTTGGTGAGGCATTTTAAGGTCCTCTTCCAAAAATTTTATGATAAAAGTCAACGCATGATAGTTTAGTTCTTATAATTTGTGAAATAGTTGTCTAACATTAACAAAAGTAAATGATAAAGATGAGATTTGATTATTATGAAAAAAGAAAAATGACCAAACAATATTTTGATGGCAATCTTAATCATTGTTTATGGAAAGAGTAGGAAATGATGTCGGTTTTAAAATTATATCTTGAGAGAAAAAGGCCAAAACAACATTATCTTTGAAATGAATTCATTATTGTAGATACATACATACACATTCATACGGACAAGACAAGAAGCTTTAAGATCTAAGGGTCGCGGAAGTGGGGTCCAACGGATCCAATGGGAGATACGGTTCTCGAAGTATATCCAAGAAGAAAGCTACACGGGGGTCCCACCGACGGTGCGCAAATATCTACGGGTGAAGCCATCATGGCAGAGAGAAGGTGGTCGACGGGGCCCGACGTGCATTCGCGAGGCCGCGACCTCCTCCCCACTGGCTCAGCTCAGCATCTGCACTGACACACGTGATGTGGGACCGGCCAATGATGGGATTACGTGGGCGATCCTTGCGTGTGGGGGCCCACCTGACGCGCCGCAGAACGCGCACGGGGACCCTGGAGGATGTTGTTCTCGTGGCAAATTGCCATTCTCTCTCTCTGCTCTTATTTCGTCCCTGCCAAATTAGCAGTGTTTTTATGTTTGTGTTACTGTGAAAACACAGCACCAATGACAGCAACAACAAGCAAAAAGAAGAGACGCAGTGCAGGTTGCGTCGTTGAGCCAGCGGCGTTCGAGTGCAGGTGGCAGAGGAGCAGTTGCATGACTGAAAAGGGAAAGCTTGGGAGCATGGCAATTCCCTCCACACAGCTGTTTCATGTGGCACACCACAACGCAGAGGGGGGGCGGGAGGAAGCCTTGTCATCTTGGTTGGCTAGCCAACCGAGCGGGTGGCGGTGGATGGATACATGATCCCGGCCACTCCTCCATGGTGACCGTGGCATGGCGTGGGATACTTTTGCTTCACCTTTGTCCCAAAGATACGCCTACCGACCATATACGTCTCCCAAACCATAATCTACACCACAAATATTATAATACATCTCCTCCACCCTTCAGCGTCACACACCCTCTCTCCCCCTCTCTTCCCACCACGCAGACCTAAGGGCAAAAGAGGGAGGAGAAGCCGACGTACGCGTCAACCAGCGACCTGGTTTGACGGGGTGGGACCGACGAGAACCACGCCGCCACGCGCTGAACCCGCGCATGCGTGCTTAACTCCTCTCTCTCTCTCTCTCTCACAGATTGTTATTACAGACGAGAAAAGGAGCTTGAGCAGAACACTAACCTGGGCTCGAATGAGTAAAGTTGTTGATTTGGCTGAGGACAACGTCAACGTTTTGCTCGTTTGTTTAATGTTCTTCTGCCGGTAGGGATTTGTGGTTGGAGGTGCGTCTCCATCGGAATGCTTAGGTCGGTCCGAAAGAGGCCCACCGGTAGCCGTGATCCAAGTGACGACAGCAAAAGGCAGCAAGGAAAGAGGCAGAGGAAGAAGAAGGACGACCAACCGCTGAGAGCAAAAGCAGGGCGGTCCCCAACGCCACATGCTGCTTTGGATTTCCCGCAATTGTCCTCGCCCTCAGCCATGTTTCAGTGCCATGCATGGGCTCATGCTGCAGTTACTATTTATCTCAGTCCATTTGCTTTTGCCTGCAGATATCTCTCTCTCTCTCTTTGTGATCTCTGTGGAGGAAGGAAGGGAAGCTTTGTGGCCTTCGGTGTTGTGGTCGCTATCGGTTGCGGGTGGAGGGGAGGGGAGGGGAGGGGAGGGGAGGTGGTGGCGGTTGCGGCCAAGAAGGCCAAAGGATTCCGGCCATTGCGGCGCCATTCCTCTGCCCTCGAAGCCTTTCCCCGCAATCCATCCATCCATACGCGTACCTTGTTTGCGGCACGCTCTGCTGAAAGAGAAACCGGGCCTGGCTATAATATACTTCCCGTCCTTTGCAACACCGCACACCGTCGGTTAACGAACGCCATTTCCTCTTCCTTTGCCATATTCCACATCCTCTCTCTCTCTCCTTTGTTGAGCGACTTCAGTCTCGGGATCTGATCCTTCGCGGTGCCCCCAAAGGGAGGAGGAGGAGGCACTAACGATTGGATTCCCGAGGTTTCTGCCGAGAGAAGTAAAACTGGTGGAATAGGAGCAATCGTTCTCCATCTTCTCTCTGTCGCAACGGACTCTCCGATCCGGCGTGTACAAACCAAAGAAGACATTCCACGTACTTGGAAGCTTTTAGCCACAGTGCTGTGATCTGTAACCCGTAAGAACTGTTCCTCCTCCTCCTCTTCCCTGCACACACAGTTATGCTTCTGTTATATGTATGTAAGCTTGAATTTTGCAGCACAGATGATTTTATGTAAGATTGTTGTTGTTGTTTCATGCATCTCCCTACAAATTCACTGCAGTTTAGATACTAGTTCTAGAGATTTCTGCCTTTGTTTATGGTGATGATGCAGCCAAACAATTTGATGCACAAGTACATATGGATTCTTTTAGGAACTATTTCTAGCATATGGCAGTTCCTGAACACACCTTTTCATTGTTTTTACTTACTGCAAAGTTAATATATATAGGTAATTATTGATGAAAAGAGATACCAAGATAGCATGTCATTAAGTCATTGATATGCAAAACTTTTGATCAAAATCACCTTTTTTTTATTCTTTAGTGTACTAAAAGGACATTAAAAATATAAGTCAAGATAAGAACTCTTTTAGTGCATGCATTTTCTTATTTCATATACTTTCTATGTTTATACTCCTTTGCAAAACTGGATACCTATCTGTAGGCAGCTTTCTTATATTTTTCCCAAATTCATGCTCTTCTACTCATTTCTCTACAACATGAGTTTTATATTTGTCTTTTATGCACAATTCCTAGCAACAAGAATTTCTTGGCCTTAATACTATTCCAAATAAGAGAAAGAAACAAGTCTTGCTATATGTATTGTGCCAGTCTAATTCTCCTAGCAATCATATATACAACTAAGACATGCCTTGACAATATTAATAAGATACAGTATCAAGATCATGATTTTTTATATTGCTAATGATGAGTAACACTTGTCCATTCATGCATCAAATGACAGCAGCATTGGTTTTGCATATGTGATCCACAGGCAAAGACTACAAAGCCTAGAGAACATGGATGCATTCCCTCATGTGCCGCCAGGCTTTCGTTTTCACCCTACCGATGAAGAACTTGTCGACTACTATCTCAGGAAGAAGGTAGCATCAAGAAGGATCGATCTAGATATCATAAAAGATGTTGATTTGTACAAAATAGAACCATGGGACCTTCAAGGTATCATTTTGCTCAACTATTTAATTGGCAACACACATTTTTGTTGTTCTACCAAATTTATAGTTGGCTATGCCTCTTTGCAACAGAAAAATGCAAGATAGGAACAGAAGAACAAAACGATTGGTACTTCTTCAGCCACAAAGATAAGAAATATCCAACTGGGACACGAACCAATAGGGCGACAACAGCTGGATTTTGGAAGGCTACTGGAAGGGACAAACCAATCTACTCCAAGAATAACTTGATTGGAATGAGGAAGACCTTGGTGTTCTACAAGGGTCGAGCACCAAACGGACAGAAGTCTGATTGGATCATGCATGAATACCGCCTAGAAACCAATGAGAATGCACCTCCCCAGGCAAGTATTTAAATTAAAAGGTTATGCATGCATTTGCTCCAAAAACTTAGAGAAAATTTCTCGTTTCTTCTCCATTTTCAAAGATGTTATAAATCATAACTAATTGCAACAAACGACTAAAGAAACTATCCACATCGAAATGAGAAATTCTTGGATGGATTAGATGCATACCTTTTACATGAACTCAGCCGCTACGAAAGACCCTGCAATTTTGCTCGTGCTGAAGTCCCAACGCATTTGTCAAAATCTGAATTTGAACCAAGTTCATGAAAAAGTTATGTGGATTTGATCCACCAGGAATCTGAATATTTCTTCTGATAAAACCATAGCTCATTTTCCATTGACACTCTTCATTCCCATTCTTCAAGTCCTATAAAAGTACTTTTGTGTTTCGGATAAAAGATTTGCTTCTATGTTTCAGGAAGAGGGATGGGTCGTCTGTAGGGTCTTCAAGAAAAGATTAGCGGCTGTCAGAAGAGTCAGTGACCATGATACTCCCTGCTGGTATGATGATCATGCATCATTCATAACGGAGCTCGATTCAGCAAAGCAGATCAGCCCCCAGCCAGAGATGGCGTACCACCAGCACCACCACCTTCTGCCTTGCAAACCAGAGCTGGAGGTGCACTACCACTTGCCACATGATTCTTTCCTCCAGCTCCCCCAACTAGAGAGCCCCAAGCTTCCTATGTATGTCAGCCATGCAACTGCTTTCCAGTCATCGATCATCGCAGAGGAAGATCTAATACAGTCCAGTAAGCAGTTTCAGATCGTCTCCACTTATGATAATACAGGAAACATCAATCAAGTGGTAGAGCAGGTGACAGACTGGAGGGTGCTTGACAAGTTTGTCGCATCTCAGCTTAGCCACAATGATATCTGCAGAGAACCCAACTGCTCCAATTCAGCAAGTGATGTTCAAACTTCTGAAAAGCTTGATGCAGCTTCTGAGTATGCTTCAACTTCCAACTCCAGTGGCCAAGTCGAACTGTGGAAATGAAGAAATAAATGAACTGGATTTTATCTATACACACAAATAGGATACTAATTCTAGATGCAAAATAAGATCAAAAAAGTGAAGATCACAGATTTATGTACATAATAAACTAAAACTAAACTTAGGCAGCATTGCTTCCGATGTTTGTAATATGTTTTATACCTCCAAGTATGTGCAACAAAGAAACCTCTACTGTCAAGACGATATCACATTACTTATGAAGCCGAGGGTTTGGATAACTGGCTCGGTCTCTGCTGAACAAGGCATCATAGCCTGAGTCCTCTGTACTTTGCCATTTGGCCCATTGTTTGGCAGCAATATCCGCTGCTACTGTATCAACACCTACAAAATTGTAGATATCTGTCTTTTCATTTAATTGGAGTGTTAATAAAAAGCATTGTCAGTTCTCTACTTTCACAATTCATTTTCATATATATTGATCTGCATTGACATGATAAATACTTATAAACAACTAAGAATACATGGCAAGTTTGTGAAGATTCAGGGCATTGCCGCCTAAGAATCTGTACATTATGCTGCAAATATGCTTGTCACACTTTTTCCAAAAAGAATTGTATTTCGATTCTTTAGGAAATCGAATTGATTAGAGGTTTTTTTGTGCTTCTGGAAGACCAAAATGTTCACTTTTCTCTTTTCGTTTTCTTTTTTGCTCAAATTGCACAAAGGTGTGCAGGAATGATTGTATATTATAATAGAACAACAAAAAATGTTACAATTAAGAAATACATGTCCTCAGATCACACACACATCAGTGAGTTAATTAACTTGTTTTCCTAGATTCCACAAACTTTAATATAAGAACATGCTTAAGTTCTTTTGAATTTCCTAATGAAAGCTTTGAATTCTATCCTATTCCTCAACTCTCAGAAGAGAGGAAGAATAATCATCATTTGGTTTCTAAATGCTTCTTTTATTTCTAGTTTGTGTGTGAAAAATTAAGTTATTGCTAAGAAATGAAAACCGATATGATTCGTTTAACCGAGCAAAAGAGCACTAATTGATTCTGGTAGATAATTAGAAATGTGATATCGCAGTCAATATAGGATTTCGGAAGCAAAGCCCTAATTTGATCCCTTCCAATGATATGCGCAATTGATTGCATATTTATAGTGGTCCATGGAGGGAGAGCGCCAAACATCATCCGACTGAGGTGGTCAACAAAGCAAGTCGAGTTCATCTTTCACCAGTGCAAATTACCTCACAGCAGAGTGATGGGTACTAATTCAAAGACCTTTAAGTGTGCTTCACGCACTTGCAGAGGACAGGCAGCTCAGGACACACACACCAAGTGCTCGACAGAATGCGGTAAAGAAGGAAAACGATGAAGAACTCACCGGAAGTAAGGAGGCGGCGTGTCCAGTAGGAAACGAGCAGAGGGCGAGAGGAAGAGAGCGGTCTGAGAGGGTTGGCGGAGAGAAGTGATGCGAAAGCCAATGCCGTGGCGTCGACGTAGACGAGGAGATTAGCCACCGAGACCATCGGCGGAGGCGGAGGCGGAGGAAGAGGCGCAGGAGAGAGGTATCGTAACTTATGTGCGAACACGCGTCCGTGTAACCGTCCGCGCCGCTACGATCGTATGGGCTCCCAACAGGCCAACTTCTCGCGGGTAAAGATTTGAATCCATCGGGTGTTCGGATCCGTGCCCAAGTCCAAATGCAGAATCCAAATGCGGATGCGGATCCGGGCATATCTGCCCGATTGATCGCTAATGTTCGCCCAAAGATTGTGATAGAACATTTAATATAACATATTTCTCAATGTGTAGAATTTTCTTTTACTATTTTCACTAAAAATATACACATTTAATATGTCTAATAATGTTTCTACTGAACTTTGAGGCATAGCTAATTCTCATGAAAATAATTTGTTCCACTCTTTGTATTTGTAGTATTGAATGACAATTATAGACAGACTTCGTTCATACCAGAAAATTATTCTCGTGAATCTCCACTTTGATTATGTAATGTTCTTTATCTATATTTCCAGATTTATCATTTTTTTAAGTATCATGAGACATCGAAAGTTATTTAATTTATTTTAAGTGTTACTATATCCTTCCACGACGTATATCTCTACAAAATTATCAAGTGGTTGTAAGAAATAATAACGCTTTGTATTCTTAATCAATTTTAATATTAATTTTAGTTGGTCGAATATTTCTTTGCATATGTTTAAATACTTTATGTAGAACCTATTATTAGTGAACTTCTATGTCGTGGCTGAGGAGCCTGTATGGTTTAGTTCGATTGTCGATGTCCAGGATCGTCCCGGGGATGATACCTTCGTCGGGTCGGGTTGAGCTCGAAGTCGGTCGAGATGCACCTCTTCAGTGAGCATGCCCTCTGTCACCTTTGGATTCCTGCACACCGGCCTAGGTCGGGATGAGAGGGGTATCCCGACTTAGGCCCTCCAAAGATAAAGTCAGTGAAACTTTTTATGGAAAATCCTTCGTCGCTCTTACTAAATGTTAGCTGGTAACTTTTATTCTAGTGCTTGAGGGTCGATCGTACGCATCTTCATGCGGCGACCGACTCCCTGAGCGACGAGTTAATACCTTCGGACGACCGCCATCCGGCATGTGTGGAATGACATCATCCGACGCCATCCCGAGCTTCCCAAAGTGGTCCTTATTTGGGACGATGCTAGCTCATGTGACTCCAAAAGGTGCGAAAGGGGAGCGGTTGTCGTCCCGAATTCCTGATTGTGCATCCGACGTGGCATCACGTCTTTCTCCCGAGGTTCCGCGTTATGCTAACATGGTTGGAGGCCTTGTCCACGTGACGAAATCCATAATATACTCTATCACCTATTATCCTCCATCCTCAGCCTCAATTTATATAAATTTTGCTTCTTGTTAGTTAAAATTTTAACCAAATAAAGCAAATAACAATGGTAATATTATCGATAATACTATCAATAAAAGAACAATACTTATACACTTCTATCTTAAGCTCCTCTTAATCCTCTCACTATCTTTTTTGGATTCTCTTAGTCCCGTTAATGTTATAATTACGTCTTGCTAAACAACAAGTTTCCTCACCCAAATGTAGCAAAAGGTGAAACAATTTCTTTCATCTAAATTCTCCATAGTAAAGTCAGCTAAAATAATTCATGTTAAATATTTGACTTTTGATGCTATCTTTTGGGAGGGATAGAATACCTCGAAACAAAAAAATAAAATAAAAAATCTTAGATATCAATAACCAAATAATATATTAGAAAGTTAAGATAAAATCACACTGCTTACCTATGTCTACATAGATAACCAAATTCTCGAAAAACCAAATATAAAGAGTCATTTTCTCTTGAGTTAGCACAAATCCAAGCCAAAAACCCAATGCAAATCATCTCATATAAATTTGAAAAGACTCATTTCTCATTCCTATACCTCTCTCTCCCTTTCACCAAATGGTCGAGATTACTAATAACTTTTTATTCTTACTTTTGAATTTATTATCTAAGAACTAATTTGAATCTAATTGGTGCTCTTCGAATAACTCTTACGATGGTGTTATCATGAAACCCAACAACGACACCAATAATAATTGCATGTGAGTGCAGGTACGTCAATAGTTTGCATGCAATCAACCCGCCGCCCTCGTGTTGTATACGTCGGAGCTCATAGAACCACAATTCTCATGTACCCTTTTCCCGGGCTTGTAGCTAAGCACCATCACAGCATGAAATCTAAACCAATAGATTCAAAGAAATAATTCGATTTGGAAAGTAAAATTTTGATGCCAAAAGAATAATTCAGACAATTAGTAATCCAACACAAACATTAACACAAGATTTACGATGTAAAAATCCATCCCAAGATAATAATATCTGAAGGAGTAAAGAGTGACTCGTAGCATGTGAGACTACTTTGGAAGGATGTCATGAATGCAACCACAGCGGATAGCTAAACCCTAATTTTCTCTGAGGTAGTCTCTCTACCTTTCGATGCAGTAGCTGGCCACGTAGAACGCTTCCAAGTAGCTGCGTACGACATGCTTGTGGGCATGCCGCTGCTTTGAACTCTGTACGAGGGTCGCAATGACGGAGAAATGAGGGGTTGGAATGCGATGGATAGATCGAGAAAGAGAGATGAATGGCCGGATGCGAAGCATGCAGCTGAGCTCAGGTGGGTAACTCCCAACAAGCGAACAAAACAACAGCAGCAGCAGCAACAACAAAAAAAAAAGGTACAGTGGGCGAGCATTAACTCTCCTCAGTTGTTTCTCCTCGATTTCCTCTCTCTGTCTCTCCCTCTCTCTCTTTCTCCTTGCGTCCACAAACCGACAGGGTTCATCACAGCCCTGTGGTCTCACGTAAGACTCGAGATCAGAGAGGTACAGCAATGGTGGAAGGCAGTCTAGAGTATGGGCTGGCAGTGAGGAGGAGGAGGAGGATGGGAGGGTTGGTGTGGTGAGACAGGACAGATTGCCGAATTCTCGTATAACGAGTTACTCAATGCTGCTAAAGCGCATTCAATAGATTGGAGTGCAGCTGCCACCAACCACATCAGATCAGATACAATAAAGAGTCGGCTATAGCAGATCTCTATGGCCATTCATGCTAACTCGAATGGAAGTGCATCCCATCATCATATCACCAACTCATCGATCGGATACACGACTGCGTATTGGGAGGACATGGTTGATTACGTATGGAATCTTCATGGAGTCTGGAATACAAGAGCTAAAGGTAAAAGGAGCAGACTGCATGCAGGCTTTAGTGTAAATGGAGAAAGAGGGAGGAGTGCTTGCCGGGTTTTGAACCGATGGAAGCCCAGCTTGCCTCGAAGCTTGTGGAGGAGAATGTTAAGATTTCAAATAGCTACGTTTGAAAAAGAGGAGGAAAGAGAAGAGAGAGTTTAGGAAAGGACAAAGGTAGTGAAGAAGAGAGAGAGAGAGAGATGGTAGTGAGGATCTGTGTCCGCTGCTGTTGTCTGCTCTTTTGTTGCTGAGTGAGAGCGGGGAAGTGTGAGGTCAAATCATGAAAGTTGTAAGGCTTTTGTTTCCTTGATTCTCCCACCCTTCTCTCTCTCTCTCTCTCTCTCTCTTCGGGAACACGCTGCCTCCGGCGACAGGCGCAGTGGGCTTAGAAGAGACAAGGAGGATATCACCCTAAGGAGGCGGACCCGGAGGTGGAGGGCGGCTAAGCCCCCATCTACAGTACTGCAACTGCATTACT